ATCAGTTCCTATCAATGCTCCCAACAAATGTTAGACAATGAAAACCAAAAGATCTGACATTCTGTGGGTTTTGCAGCAGACAAGCAGGGTAGCAGGATGATTTGCTGGACCTGTTTTAGCTCAGACATCCCTCTAGTGGGCGGAACAACTCCTGAAATCCTTTCATCCCCTCTCTGAACCTCCCCAACTTCCCCCACTTTCTCTTTTCTCCATCCTTCTCTCCCTATTAAAGTTTCTTTTTCACATCTATTTAAGTATCCAGTGAGTGCCAGTCACCATGGGAGGCTCTTGGTGTGCTACAGATCAACACCGTCCCAGGGTATCCACAATGTAAGACCCCACGGTTCTGCCTGGGTTCTCCCTTCTTCCTCCTCTCCCATCAGCCAGTGTTTCTTGAGCATGTACTCTGTTTTTTAATTTTTTTGTTTGTTTGTTAGTTTTTTTTTTGAGGCAGTGTCTCACTCTGTTGCTCAGGCTGGTGTGCAGTGGCACAATCTCAGCTCACTGCAACCTCCACCTCCTGGGTTCAAGGGATTCTCCTGTTTCAGCCTCCCTAGTAGCTTGGATTACAGGTGCCTGCCACCACACCTGGCTAATTTTTGTATTTTTAGTAGAGACCGAGTTTCACCATGTTGGCCAGGCTGATCTGGAACTCCTGACCTCAAATGATCCACCCGTCTCGGTCTCCCAAATTGCTGGGATTACAGGCGTGTGCCATAGTGCCTGGCCTGAGCATCTACTCTGTAGGAGCCCTTTGAGGGCAACTCCCGGAAAGCCAGTGGAGCACCATGTTCTATTCACTGCATCCTCTGTGAAAGAACCTAGAACCTGTAGTAAAGCTCTCTGCTTGTGAGGTCTTTCTGGATGGCACTATGCCTTCTGACAGGGAGGTGGCCCACAGTGAGAAGAGTGACCCTTATGGCTGTTTCAGGGCTACAGTGGCTCAGGGCAGGTGAGACAGACCAGAGCAGTCAGGAGAGCAGGCGGAGGTGGTAGTCAGCCGGCTCCTGGTCTTACCTGGATGGAAGGGCCCAGTAGAGGGCCTCCCAGTGTACAGAATAGAAGAGGACTCCAGACCCGAAGTGGTGGCTCACACCTGTAATCCCAGCACTTTGGGAGGCCAAAGAGTGGGTATCACCTGAGGTCAGGAGTTTGACACCAGCCTGGCCAACATGGTGAAATCCCATTTCTACTAAAAATCCAAAACTTAGCCAGGCATGGTGGTGGGTGCCTGCAATCCCAGCTACTCAGGAGGCTGAGGCAGGAGAATTGCTTGAACTTGGGAAGCGGACGTTGCAGTGAGCTGAGATAGTACCACTGCACTCCAGCCTAGGTGACAGAGTGAAACTCAGTGTCAAAAAAAAAAAAAAAAAAAAAAAAGACTGCAGTCTCCAAAGGATGACAACTGGGCCTCAGGGGCCCTGAGAAATTACAGCTGCCTGCACTTTGTCCCTGGACCTAACTATTGCTGCAAGTGCTATGGCAGAAAGGAAGAAGTCCATAGCCAATGAGGTGATGAATGGGAAGGGGCTGAATGTGGATAGTGTGGTGACACTTTTCCCAGCAGTGCTGTCAAGGGTAGGGGATGGAAAGGAGACTGGAGCTTGGCAAGAAGACTTGGATTGGAACCTTGGTGCTGCTGCTCACTAGTGAGGACTTGGCAAGCCCTTCAGCTCCCTAGTTGACCCTGTGTCCCTCCTGTTCCCTGGTCCTGTGTGTATGTCTGCCATGTGCATGGCACAGGCTTACGATCTGTTATGTATGTATTTTATAGTTCACACCCACTCTTCTGCTTCCCACCAGACAGAGCATGCAGGTGTCAGGGACTACGTCTCGATCATCTTTGAATTTTCCAGTGCCCAACAAAGAGAACTTAAGGAGGTTAATGGAAGGGGTCAGACATTTTCCCAGTGGGGAAAACAGCTCCTGCACCCACCACTTCTCCCATCTCCCCACCATCCTCTACCTTCCATCTTACTTCCTCCACCTCACTCACTGTCACTCAGCAAGTGGGGGCAAAGCAAAATTCCAGCCCAGGGGCCTTTCACTCCAACTTGGAAGTTTGTATTCCTGGTAACCAGGCTTCCATCTGAGGTTCTCGAACTTGAGCAAACATTGGAACCCACAGGGAGGGCTTATTTCAACCCAGGTACACCAGAAGTGGTGCAACAGGCCAGAGTCTGGGAATCTGCATCACCAAGTTCCCAGATGATGCTGAAGCTGCTGGTCCCAGGCTCATGCTCTAGGGACCGCAGCTGCCAGGCCTCCCTGCTACAGATGTGGCTGGGCTTTCCAGGGGCTGCGCACATGCCCCCTCCTCATGGTGGGGAGACTTGACATGAGTAGATTAGTGACTCTTCAGAATCGAAACCCGCATTCATATGGATATGCTGACATATAAGGAAGTTTTGATTACTTGGAACCTAGAAATGTCCTTGACTTGAAGCTAGACTCTGCATTCAAATCCAACTGGTACCAATTTCTACTGGGACTGTGACAAAAACATGTAACCCTCTTTAGACTATTTTTCCCTATCTGTAAATTGGAATACAAATGCCTACGTTAGAGCATTATGGTGAAGATTAAATGCCAAAGTGCTGGTGCATATCGAGGGCTCAGTTATTGAGCAGAATTTGGATTTAACCGAGAAACATCAATTGGTGTTTTTCTTTCACTATATACATGAGGAAACAGTACAAAATAAAAGTGGGTACTGGGGATTTAGTGAGATAATCTTCATGGGATGTTATGAAACACATTCATCTCAATGTTGCAGACAGGTCATAGATAATGAATGTGGATGTGATCTGCATTTTTCCTGGAGATCCTCCCGGGCCGTATCATCCAAGTGGGGCCCAGCACTCAGCTTGGCATTTTATTTTGTTTATTACCAGGTGGTCAATGCGCTTTTGAGCTTGGGGTGGCTGGGCTGTGGGGGAAGCAGCCCTCTTGAGCTTTCAGGAGAGTTAATTCCCACACGTAACGTAGCATGAGAGCAGTGGCGGGGAGCACCAGGGTTGTCGATATTAATAATAATAATTACAGCTGCCATTTGCCATATTACAACTAGCCATTGTGCCTCGAGGGAAGTTATTCACCCTCTCTGGGCTGCATTCTTCTTTCCTGTAAAAAGGAGACTAATAAGTGTGTCATTGTTGGGATCCAGTGCGAGTTGCCTATTAGCTCTTACAACAGCACCTAGCACATAGTGAGCACTCAGTGACTTTTAGTCCGTGTTATTTAATGAGAACCTACTCTATTCCTAGCATACCTTGTGGGTCATCCATTTATTATGTGAATACAGGAAGGTGCAAGAGATTTAATAGTGAACAAGAGAGTCTACTTTTTCAAATTCCATTTCTAAAACACAGGAGGTGTTGGAATGAAAAGAGGCTTGACTGGAGCCACACAGCTGATAAGCAGGTCAGCTGAGATCTGATCCAATGGACTCATTCTACACTGCAGTGCTGCCCACTAGTAGCTTCTTCCTTACCTTATCATCAAATATGGATAATTAAAAATTTTACAGGAGTAAATACATTGGTTAACAGTTAAAGGAAGATGGTAGACAAAAATTTGTAGTTTTCAGACAGTTTTGTTGATTTATATATCTCAAATAGTAGTTTATATTCATATAATACATTCATTATAAAATATGCAGTGGTATAGAGATTTGTATGTCTATAGATTTTTTTAAAATTTAGGTTTATAAATAGTTTGGAACAGGTTGCAAAAACATCATCTGTTGCTCTTTTTAATTTATCTTCAGAGTGCTATGACACATTCTGAAATAATTTGCTTCAGAAAAAAGCACTGCTCTTCTCTCTCTGTCTTTTTTTTCCCTCCAAATGTAACTGTAAATATTACTTTGATGTATGTAATTGCTTCAACGCTCTCCATTTGAAGGAAGGCTTCGAAACCTTCCATCTCCCATCTCTTGCTATTGTCAAGAAATAAGGAAAACGGACTTAAAATGCATTATTCAAATGTATTTAATGTAAACATTAAAGAAATCTGAGAACATCCACAAATTTCCTTCATCTCAAAGTGGTTTTAAAAAAACACCTCAAGTATTCTATCATCTTACTGGCATTCACTCAGTCTGCTTAGGGGAACTATTTATTCCGGCACATTTTAGGATTCCAAGACTGCTTCTAGTGTCTGGTACATAGTAGGGGGGATTGAAGGATGTCTGATGAATGGACTTGAATTGGGATTGGAGGATGAATATAGCTTGTGAAGACCCTTGGGTACCTCTAGGAATAGAAGCCACCCCACGAAGGCTTGGCCAGGGAGTCCTGCCTGCACATCCTCATGTGCAGAACGGAGAACAGTTCTGCACATGAGGAAGTGGCCCAGGTTTAGTGTGCTGGACAGCGCTGGGCAGCACAGAGCTGGATTTGACTTTAGGTCTTGTCTCTTGTCAGTAATTCCATCAAGTTAGCACTCGATTCTGAGCTTTTTGACTAGTCTGCGGGGCCCTTGAGGTAAAGACTGTCTTTTGTCTCTGCATTGTCAGTAGCCTCTGCAAGTTCTGATGCCATAACTGCTCAGTAAACGTTTTTCTCAATCAAAGGACAAAGCAGCTAACAATGCAAGCACTTGGCTGTCTCTTGTCTGCTTGCCATGAGACTCCAAGGCAAACTTGTGGCCTGATCCATGATCCATGATTCAAATCATTCACTGGCAGAGGAATAGAAACCTCCCATCACTGGCTCTCTCTGGGGTTGTTCAGAGCCTGGGAGGGGTCAGTGGAAAGAGTTCTGGACTGCAAAGCTGTGGAGGTGGGGGCTTCTCAGCATAGGTTTGTATCACACACCAGCTGGCTCTTCCATCCCCGCCAAGCCCCTTCTCCTGCACCTTGGTCTCTATCTGACTCTAAGTCACTGCCGGTCATTCCATCACACTGACAATTTCCGTGTGTGTGATGCTCAGCTTATTTGCTACAGAATTACAATTTTTTTTCACTCCTCTATTAATAAACAAGTAAATATTCTGACCTGTTTTTCGGCAGACTGAAGTTCTGGAATTTCAAATCGTTGGATCCTTCTTTAGTTGTCCTTCTATTGCCCCTGGGATGAAAGAAAATAAATTACAGCTGGGAAAAAGCAAGAAGCTAGGGGAAAAAATTAATTAAGTGCATTCATTCATAGAAACAACCACCCAGTTAGATTTAAATAATTACGTCTCACACATAGTTCTGAATCTGTCTTTGCAGTACCATTGAGGTCAAAGAAAATCTATGTTTAAAGTAATTCGGTTACCTAATTTTTAAATGTAAGAGCTTTATTTTACAGAAAACAGTAGCATGAGGCAGAATAAGTGCCCAGTCAGGATAAGGACGTGGGCTGCCTGTCCCTCATCAGCAGGGTGACCTTGGTATCTTCCTTAAGCTCTGCCAGTATCTGTCTCCTCTGTAAAATATCATACTTTTGCCACATGGTTGATGAGAGGCTGTTAAGAAATTTGAGGAACAGCAACCGTGAGCCCAGCAATGTCTCAGATGTTTTCCTATGTTTGTTGAATTTGATAAAAATCTAGCAAACATTATCCAACGTGGGAAGACAGACTCTTTAGCAACTCTGATCAAGTAATATTTATTGAGCTCCCATATCATTTAGGCACTTTGCTAAGGCACTTTCTATGAAAAGATTAAATTGTTTTTCATTGAGTTAATTTGCTAACATTCATTAAATATATCCACTGTCATAAACCATCATTGTTACGCATTCCTAGTTCATCTAATCAGCCACGTTTCACACACTTTCCTTTCTTCTGTAGTCATTTCATGAGCTCTATCAAACACTGACTGGTGATTTTTTCCTCAAATCTCAGCCTTGCACAATGCTCCTGGAAACTGCCTCCTTAGCTTGGTTACCCTCCTTGTCCTAACAATTCCACTTGGGGTAAATTTGCCTCTCCCTGGTCCTTGGACTTTCTCTGCTCCCACCCATGGGGCTCTTTCGGGTACCATTCACTGTTTCTCGGATGCCCTTGTCTTCCTTATTCTCATTAACTGCAGCCCTTACTTCTGAACTCAGCTCAAGCGCTACTTCCTCAGAGAATCCTCCTCGACCTCTCAGACTTGCTCCTTCACAGCACTTGCCTGAATTTTAATTTTACTTTTGTTTTAGCTGGTAACTTGTGTTCACATCTGACTGTTGATCTTCCATCTCCACCACAGCAGAGATTTGCAGGGCTTAGCAGCCTGCAAAATTCAAGGTGACTTAATAATATGCTGCTGTTAATAACTAGAAATGTTGTTCTCGCTGCAGTTTGGTATGTGGATTGGAGCCCAGGAGGCTAGGAAAGCAGTTAGGGGTAGATGCTGGAGGACAGCCTAGAGTTGCTAAAAGCAGAAGTCAGGCTGAATATATTAATTCAATATTATGGGTCAGTGCCTGGCCCACCAAGGAGCTCCATGGACACACATGCATGTACACACAAAACTAAAGAAGTCCAGGAAATACTTCATGAGGACTTGGGGTTCTCTCTTCATCTACAGGGATTCTGCCTGTAGCCCATAGAACAGAACATAATAAATTAAAAAATCTGTGAGTTGTTTGGACTTATTTTGTCACTATATAAATTGACCATCTAGAAAGATGATGACTTATTTCATTATTTATTAATTAAAATTAATTTAATTTTTCCATTTTTTATTTTCAAATTTCATTATTGCACTATTTCACATATTCCATTATTCGTCGTTTTTTTTTTCTATCCGAATACAGCTAAATTCACAAGTTTCCATCTGTACTCTGACTTCTCTACCAAGTTCCAGACATGAACGCTGAACTATTTTCTGGGTCTTTCTAATTGGTTATTCCCCAGCAGACACAGGCCTTTTTCCTAGTGAGAGGCTCCATTGCTCACATGATTTTCAAACCATATCCCAGATGCTAACCTTGAGTCTTCCCATTCCTTCCCCTCTGTCATTGCCATCATCCTAACCTGTTACCCTATTCGAACAGTCAGATTTTCTACATGCCTCCTGACTCTGTCTCTTATTTGTCACTCCCATAAGCCAGTTAACATATTCAGCCTTACTTCTGCTTGCAGTATCTCTAGGGGGGCCTCCAGTATCTACCACTAACTGCTTTCCTGGCCTCCTGGGCTCCATTCCATACACCGGACTGCAGCAAGAACAACCTTTCTAGTTATTAATTGCAGAATATTATCAAGTCACCTCCTTGAAAATCTTCATCAGTTCCCTATTTCCTGCAAGATAAAACCCAAAGTCTTAACCACAATCGCTAAGATTCCTGCCCCAGTGGCCCCGAATCCCATTTCTGTTGCTCCTTTATTTCCTGCTACCCTTTCTCTCTGCCAGGTCACCCCACACTGTGACCTCAGGTCACCCGACACTGTGACCTCTGGCCAGACTTCTTTTTAATGCTCCCATTATTGACCTAATTACTCTTTTTTTGCCTCCTCTGGGCCTGGCAAAATGCTTTTTATTCCTCAAGGTCAAGTTCAAATATGACATCCCTATGAATTCATTTGTACTTCTTCCGCTTTGAGTCCCTCTGGTACTTTTGCATACTTATCTATTGCCATCCATTTCGTTTGTTTGTGAGTCCAGTCATTCATTTACCCGACAAACAGTTATTGGGTTTTTTCCATGCCAGGGCACTGCATTAGGCAATAGGGTATGGTAATTAAAGAACAGATGAATGCTGCCTCCCGGAGTTTTTAGTGTGTTTAGGGAGCCAGGCCATACACGAGTAAAGAATCTTATCTTCTCAAATGCCCTGTACATGCATTCATTATGCACATCCATGTCCGTGTCCCCTTGCACTGGAGTCTTTCAAGGGTAGGTTGTATCCTGGGCATCTTTTTCTCTCCCAGGACACTGGGTAACTGACCCTGCATGCTTGCAGGAATGTTTGTGTTATAATGAATAGATACCTAGATAACAAATACATAAATGGCCTGTGAATATGGGCTCATGCATACACAATAGTGAACCATGTAGTTAATTGGATAGAGTCCTTTGAATCTTTCTGATACCAGGGGAATTCTGACCTACCCCCTTCACTGAGAAGGAGCCCTCAAATTTCCATCTGCACTCTGACTTCTCTACTAAGTTTCAGATAAACATTGAACCATTTTCTCAGTCTTTCTAGTTGGTTATTCTCCAGCAGACACAGACCTTTTTCTTAGTGAGAGGTTATATGTATAATTTCTGTGCCCTGACAGCCCATGTAGCATTTGCCTACATGGCTTTAACAAAGCCAATTTTGGGAGTATGAGACACAGTCTGGGAATTTCTCAACTTCTTCCTAGGTGCCTCAAGAACCCAAAAGCCTGGGAGCTACCTGTGACCCTTCTAGATAATCAGGTTTGGCCTTTTTTTTTTTTTTGTCTTTTAAATAATGTTTTATTATGAAGTGTTTCAATTTCAAACAAACCCCAAAGGAAGAAACATTAGGATAATATGTAACACATTGCCATCACTCAGATTCTACAGTTACCAAGATTTAGTCATATTTGGTTTATTTGTACCTTTATTCTTTTGTTCTAATTTTAAAAATACATTTTTTTTTTTTGAGACAGAGTTTACTTCGTTGTCCAGGCTGGAGTGCAGTGGCATAATCTCAGCTAACTGCAACTTCTGCCTCTCAGGTTCAAGCAGTTCTCATGCCTCAGCCTCCTGAGTAGCTGGGATTACAGACATCTGCCACCACACCTGACTGATTTTTTGTATTTTAGAAAAGGTGAGGTTTCACCATGTTGCCTAGGCTGGTCTTAAACTCCTGAGCTCAGGAAATCTGCCTGTCTTGGCCTCCCCAAGTGCTAGGATTATAGGCATGAGCCACTATGCCCGGTGGAAAAAAATATATATATATTTTTACAGAAGAGTCTCTCTTGCCCATGATGGAGTGCAGTGGCACAATGATAGCTCACTGCAGCCTTGAATTCCTGGGCTCAAGCAACCCTCCCACCTCAGCCTCCCAGTGGCTAAGACTGCAGGTGCATGCCACCATACTCAGCTAACTTTTAATTTTTTTTGGTAGAGATAGGGTCTTACTATGTTGCCCAGTTGGTTTCAAACCTTTGGCCTCAAGTGATTGTCCTGTCTAGGCCTCCCAAAGTGCTGGGGTTAGAGCCATAAGATACCATGCCCAGCCCTGGTTTTTCTTCATTAAAGTATGATGAATTAAATATAGACATAATGTCATTGAACCCCATATAATCAGTATGCATTTTAAGAAATATATTTTCTCATTTATCCACAATACTATTATCATATCTAACAAAATTGACCATAATTCTTTGTTCTCACATAATAGCCAGTTATACTCGAGTTTTTTATAATCCTACAAAGTCTTAACAATTGATTTGCTTAAATCAGGATTCAAACAAATTATATTCTGTTGTTTTTATTGCTTCCCTTTACCTGTAGAAACTGATACAGTTTTCCTACAGAGCAAGTTTACTCCTGGATTAGGTATTTTTCTTCCTTATGGTGGTAACATTAACTTGTTCTGTACCCACATTGTCTTTTATGAATGCACATTAGCTAATATTTTGAAAGCATGATGAGTGTGGACACAAGGCAATATACAATTTCCCCGGCCATAGATCACGCTCCATGGTCATTTATGTTCTATTACTATGATCGAATGCAACTGTGTCACTCCCAGGTATACATCGCTAACAGTTTTCAGTGTGTGCGTACAAGAACTCTGACCAATATCTCGCCACAGGTTGGGAATTTTGAGAAAGCTTCTAGAGTCAGCTATCTTCTATCCTGTCTTAAGAGTAAAGCTTTACAAATAATCCTGACCCTTCCAGTTGCATCTTCACTTCTCTGGTTCCAGTAAAATTTAATCCTAGAAGCTCCCTAAACTGCAGGCAGACAGTGGAATGTTGTCTTAGAAACTCAATTTGAAAAATAATGACTATATTAAAAAGTTGAACAACATCTGTAATTCAGGTTCGATCATGTGGGTTTGAGTATTCGAGGATGAGTGGAGATACCTTTACATAGACAGTGTCTTTATTACTATCTGTAAAATCAAGACATTTGTGAACATTAAAGAACAAAATTAAGTGCTGGAAGTCT